CTTTTCGTAAAAATTAGAGCAAAATTTAAAAAGTGAAAGCACTTTAAACAAAAAAGGGGTTTTTTTTTATCTTGGACCCCACCATTACCTCTCTGCTACATTTGGTACGTGCAGCTCCTCACGTTGCATTGCTTTCCTCGCGCAACGGTCTAGGTTAGGGGTGCAAATGAGCCGAGCCGCTCGTGAGCCGCTCGCGAGCCGCTCGGTCAAAGCTCGAATCGGGATCGGTCAAATTCGAGCTCGAGCCGAGCTCGAGCCGGCTCGTTAAGCAGTCGAGCCCGAGCTCGAGCCTTCTAATTTCAGGCTCGCTGGCTCGCGAGCCGGCTCGCGAGCCTAATTTTATATGTGAATATTTATAATATATATATATTATATAATCATATATAATATATTACTATGCAAAATAAATTAATATATAATGTATACTGTTATAATGTACGGAGTAATATATATGATATACTCCCTCCGTCCCCTTTTAAATGTCTCGGAAGAGTATGACACGAGTTTTAAGAAAAGTGGGTTTGTGTGATTGATATTAATTGATAAAGTAAGAATAAAGTAAAAATAATTTTGAACCACACAAACTTTACCAAATAAGGTATGAGACAATTAAATAGGGACATCCCAATATGGTAAAACGGGACATTTAAAAGGGGACGGAGGGAGTATATAATATATGCTGATTAGTAAAATTTTATAATATTTTAGGCTTAGGTCGTTACTACTCAGTAGAAAAACTTAGAATGGGCCGATGACAGTGAATTTTTACTACAGACTCATTATGGAGCATCATAATGGTTATCGAGCCTCGAGCCGAGCCGAGTCGAACCGAGCCTTCTGCGAGTCGAGTTCGAGCCGCGATTTTGTAGGCTCGTTCGAGCCGAGCCCGAGCTCGAGCCGATGCTATATATTTCGAGCTCGAGCTCGAGCCTGTAGAAAATCGGGCTCGGCTCGGCTCGTTTGCACCCCTAGTCTAGGTAAGTCGCCAACTGCATTGGCGATTCTTATTAACCATGGTTTATTTAACATTATTTTGGTTTTGGTAAATACATTTAACTCAACACTATTTTCGTAAATACTTTTTTATTTAACTTTATTTCAGAAAAAAACTCTAAAAATATGCATAAGGTTTGGAAACAACCAATATGGTTCAGATTGATTATTGGTAACAATTGTAACAGGTTCGAACATTGTCACATTGAACCAATTTAGTAGTAAAATGGAATTTTGACTCAATATATGATGAAAACGTTGAATTGTGTCAAGATCATTAAGAATATAAAATATTGGATCCGGGGACCTATACAGTTTTTAATCAAAATTAGTATTTCACCATGCGTTGTACGAGATGTAATATGAACCTATTATAAATGTTAATTATAAAGCATTTACAAAACACATAATTATGTCACATCAATAGCAAAATGACATGGTTATTTAGGCGACAATTAAATAAAGTACTTCGAGTATATTTTGAGAAATAATTTTAATAGGTATATAATAATGTAGTTGGTATTGATAACTGTGATGTTGTAAATGTAATATTTTTAATATTTACCGAATAATTTGTCACTTAAGATTGTTAATTGTTTCCTAAAATAGAAATGAGAACCTTCTAATGGGACGTCCAAAAAAGGAAAGTGAGAATCTTCTAATGGGACGGAGGGAGTACTATATTAGAAGTTTAATATGCATACAAATTACAAATTATTGAAGACCTTGTATACAACGTTTTCTGTAGTTTTTTTTTTAAATTTCATTCTTTGTCGCATATTAAGAACTTTAAGTCAAACGATCTTGTCACACTCGAGACCGCAACATATAAATCTCCATGCGTAAAAAGAGGACGTGAGAAAAATTCTTTCCAGTTTCCCACGATTGCCATTGATTCTTTCCCATTTTAAAAGAATATTTGTCACCTTTTGAAACTATACTATTTTGCATATTTAACTTTTAACATATATAAGGTGTATATGTTAACTATGCACTATACAATCTTATTTAAACAATTTATAACCTTCCCCTTTGAGTATTAAGCCAATCAGCGAGTGAATAAGTCAATTAGTCAATTAAGGATATGTTTGGCACAACTAGCTAAAAAGATACTTTTACGAGCTTTTTAGTAGTTGTTAACTTTGAGTGACTGAAAAGATCTTAAAAAGAAAAGGTGATAGCTGTTTTGTAAAAAGCTGACTATTTGATTTAGTTCGGTTTGGTATACAAGCTGTTAGGACTAATTAATACTAAAAGTCACGAGCTTTTCTCAGATGCTACACCCGGTAGCATCTCAAAAAAAGATCTTTTAATTTTTGAAAAGTTCTTAAAAAATGTCATGTCAAACATACAACTAGAGTCTTTTAAGGTCTTTTTAAAGAATAGAGAAGCTAGAAGCTATAGCCTTTTGTTTGCCAAACATAGCCTAAATTGCTTAAGAACTTTCCATATACGCATCAAATAACCTACATCGTATTAGATAGATCCGTCTACAATTTGTTCCAGCAACCTCTTTATAGGCCCTTTTCTAGTTTCTTGGATGTTCTCGATCAGGGGTGAAGACAGGGAGGGGTTGGAGGTGGCCTCGGCCCCTGCAAGAAAAATAAGAATGTTAAATTAGTGCCTCTGAATTTAAATTAGTGCCTCTGAATTTAAAACTTTTAATGTTTCATTAATTAATCCACTTCAAGAATTTCCTATCATTCACTGGTTTAAATTAAAGTTCTGGAAAGAAGTTCAGATACTTTCAAGAATTTTGGTGATTTGTTTATGAATCTGAAAGGCTACAAATTTTCAAATGCATAATAATATGTTGGATGTATACCGTATAGTAATTAATTAAGGTTTAAATATGGTTTTAGTCCCTGCAAATATAGATCACTTTGTTTTAAGTCCCTGCAAAATATTTTCTTTGTTTTTCATCCCTGTAATATGCATTATTTTGGTTTTAGTCCATCTCTAACTACGAAACAACTCTACTTAGATTTTTTTTTATTGTCGGTTGCATAAATCAACTAGAAGCATTTAAATTTATCAGTTTATAATTTTGTTGAGGTTAATAAGAGAGTTAATACAATTATAAAACTAATTATTCCCATTCTAAAAAATGTTAATAAAAACTCCTTTAAAAATGTAATTAAATACTTTTTGAATGGTATGACAAAGAATTTAAGGATACCTATTAGTCGGGATTGTTTCAGTGTCAAATAGAGGTTGTTATCATTAGTCATGGACTTAAAAGAAAATGAACATTAATTTCAAGGATGAAAAACAAAGAAAATATTTTGCAAGGACCTAAAACAAAGTGACCTGTATTTGCAGGGACTAAAAACATATTTAAACCATTAATTAATCATCATACTTGGATGATTAATTATCCAATACCAAACTGTAAGTTTAACTATCAAACTTGGTAAACAATGAGAATAACCAAAAGTAATGGGTAATTAATTACTCTCTCTATCCTTTAAAATTTGGTTATATTGAATTTTCTTGGAAATGTTCAAGAAATCACTTTAAATATGATTTTTTATGGAAATGTTCTTCGCTCTAAGTAATTTCATAGAAGTAAAAAAGTTCTAAATTTCTCTCGAATATAATAATTAAAATCATAGTTCAAAGTTTATTATCATTAGTCAAGAAAAATCAAATTGGCCCTGTTTTATGGGACGGAGAGAGTATCTTTTAAAAATGTAAGGGTTGATAGTAAGTTTCCCTTTATGATTAACATTACCATTAGTATTACTAATATCATTATATCACTACTAATATTATTATATTACAAATACCAACAACCTACATTTATATACTATTAGTAACTTACAGATAATAAGAACAATAATAGTAACATTTATAATTTAAAATACTACGTAATATGGTGTAACAACAACGACAACAACATCATCAACAACAACAATAGTAATAATAATGTAGTTACTAATGTTATTATTATTTTAAATGTAAATAGCAAGAACCTATAATTCTATATTTATAATAACATACAAATGCAAATAACAACAGTAGTAATCATAAATTTTGTGCAAGAACTTTTTTTCTGATCCGATCTGAATCTGTTTAATCTTATATGAATCTTTCTAATATGATCTGATTTGAATCTTTCTTATATGGTCTAATATTTTTCAGATATGATTTGAATAAAATAAAAATAAGCAATAAGTAAAAAGATTAAGACAAAATGAACAACTCCTAACTTTTGGGACCCGTCAAATCAACATACTGTCATAGGCGGTGTTCTTGTACCACTTGTCTCGCGGGCCTAAGGTGATACTCTCGGACGCTCTCTTGATTCGATATTGTACTATTCTAATAAATTAACACAAGTCTTTACGACACACTTTAATATTGCTCATGATTCCAAGACTTTACTTGTATAAACACGCTTAGTCATGAAGTTCTAACAAATAGGGTTCTTTACAGAAGATTTGATTCTGGGATATACCATGTTAGTATGAATTTTACTTTTAATTCTTTTACTCCTTTTGAATTTTGAGTATTATAGCTAGTTCTAGAGTATAAAAAATGTGTTTCGGGCCTTCAGGTTGGTTGTGCTCTGGGGCCTGGGGGTATATAGTAATTAGTGAATATGTTACTTTTGGCAATAATTTTTATTTAAAGCCTCTTGTGCTCTCAACCAACATCTTATGCAAATTTATGGATTCAGGAATCAGGACCCCTTGTTTAGAAGATTTGATTCTGGGATATCCTATTAAAAGGGTTGGTAATATTAATACTTGCATGCTTTTGTGCACATTTACGAATTTATATCTAATGTACATTTCTAGAACAAATTCTTGATATGGAGTAAATTGCTAGTGATCGACCTTTTGCAATTCATACAAAAAATGACATAAATTAAGGACAAAAAATCTGGCATTGAGCAAATGACATCGCAAGAATCGAACAAGAACAACTCTAAATCATTATCATTATTTGTGTACAAATTAAAACTTCCAAGATTTTGTAAATGCTGATCCAGATCCCTACAGGTTTTTGTAAAGTCTAAAAGTCAAAGTGCAGCCCTTCTAAATAGTTAAGGCACAGGCCAGGGTGAACTAAAGGCTATATCAGAGATCTGCAGCTTCATCTATAAGCTGCCAGGTCAGGCAACGGTCGCTTCACTTTTTATTCCTCTAATCTACCCTCTTAGTTAACATCAATATTAACACTAAACAAACAATGCAATCAAACCATATGGCTTTTCATGTAAACAGAGGGATGAACTCATGTACCAGTTCATTTTCTTAATACGCATGTCACCTTATCATGTTTCAGTCATATTAGTAATACGCAAATATACAACAGCCAGAGTATTCTTGGCTGACCAGTGCCGGTTCGGCGGTTCCTATAGTTCAAAGTGAAACAGGGGGAGGTGGTGGGATTAAAAAGGTCAAATACAGGGCGCAATGCAGCAACTGATAATCAAGATGTGTAGAAAACAATGCTGTCATGAACGATCTAAATGGAACAAAACAGAAGAAATGCCTTCAAGTTCTTTTGTGATCAAAATAGATATTGCAGTTAAAAAGGATGTCAAATGACAGATGTAATAGACCATGTGTTTGTTCATACAACACACAACGATGTCTAAATAGTAAATATGAAAAACACAGGAAGTTTAACTCTGAAAATTTTATAAATAAAGAGTAGACTCCTTGAAGCACTGCAGCAGTAACCCTATTCTTCATCTTCTTCACTGCAAGATTGTGACACAATATACTTAGCAAACTACAAATCGGACCAAATCATTATAGCACAAGTACAAAATCAAAACTACATCAGAGATATTATATTCACCCAATATTTTAAGAATCTGCGACCTGTTATTACTCTGTATTACGTAGTACGGAGTATTACTTATACAATTAATACTAAAATACAATTAATATAATGGTTACGGCAACATCAATAGTGCAAAAGGCATAATTGAATGAATGGTCTAGATATGACTTGGAACATTACTTCTATTCTTCCTAATATCATAATAGAAAACATGCTTCCATTTGTTAACTAGGCAGTAGACACATTATTTTTCCAATTCCACTCGGTTAGATTGAGACTCAAATATTGAGGTATGCAGGTATCCAATCTTTTTACAGACAGTAGAATTTTAAGAAGTACAGATGCAGATATGTGTGTACTACAGAGAAAAATATGAGAATATTCTGTCAAGGGTCAATGCTTTCACCCCCAAGCAAATATAAATAGGTTGAATAAGGGGAGGGTTGTGGCTTCGGTAAATTAAGTAATTAAGTAAAAGTTTATAATAAACGGTGTACAATGAGGTAATAACCATTAAAAATGCTTATATTACACCTCCATTTAAACCATAGGAAACCAAGATATTGCAAATATACTCGCAAAAATCAACATAAAGTAAGCCTTTTAATGTTAAATACTGTGTAAAATATACCCTGCATCTAACTCGGCCAGCCAACCATTACTTTATCCAAACAATGATGAGAGTGCATTTCACTTCTACAACAATAATAACAACATCCAAGCCTTAGTCCCAAAAGATTTTGGGGTCGGCTAACATCAGAAGTGAAATACTGATGTTACAGATTTAGGAAATTATTATCATTTCATAGCCCTAATTAAGGATGACCAACGTTCTTTAACAAACAGGAAACTCAATTCATAGGTCACAATAGAACTCCTTTGACTTCCAAAGTTATGGAGCAAATGACAGATTCATCACACATTGTTTTACTATATCAAAAAGTTTCAAGGCAATAACTTAAGTGTTAATAAGTAACAAAAGCAGCAATAGGAAAGTAAAAATGAAGGCTGACTGGAGATTACCTTAGATATTGCTAGGATACATGAAAATCCTAACACTGTTTCCCTACAAAATTTGGAATAAAATAAATATTAAAAAAAGTGAAAACGAAATATAAACATAAAAGAAAGAAGCTCAAACTGGTCAAAGATGAACAACTTATGCAATTCAAACTAACCATGGCTCTGGGCGGCAGGTTGGACTTGAACTTAGCTCTTACGACACCGCTGTTTCCATGAGGCCGACTGACCTTTCCCCAGATGCAACGGTAGTGAGATCCGTTCTTCTTTGTCTTAGCCTTGTAGACATAAGCCATACGCTTTCCCTGGTACCAACCCACTTCCTCCTTAGTGTTCACTCCTTCAATCTGAACCAATGAGGTGCTTGGATACTGGTTCGACTTCGATCTATCAACGATTTGCACACAATTAAAGTAAACTTTCCACTACTATTACAAAGAACTTAAATTTAGATCAAGGTTTCCGGGAATCACCTCTTGTAACCAAGGACTGTCCCCCTGACATAGAGTCTGCCACCAAACAAGTAACCAAACGTGAGATAAAATGATGGATCAGAAATGAGAATTTAATTACAGCTAGGGAAGCAATCGGAAACCTGATGCGCTCGCCTTGACGTCCCTTAACCATTTTGACTGCTAGTGGGAAGATACGCCTGGAAGACGGTGCCTTCAAGTGTCTGATAAACCCTAGTTGATTAGGGGGTGAAGAGCTCGATTTATAAATTGGGGCTTGGTTTGCCAATTGGTGTCCGGGCTTTTAGCCCATGCTTCAAAAAAAATAAAATAATAATTTTTTTTAATATACAAATAACTTAATTATTACTCCCTCCGTCCTCTTAACTTTGTCTCGTTTTATCTTTTTCATCCGTCTCATTAACTTTGTCACATACCATATTTGGTAATGTTTGAGTGGTTAAAATTCATTCTTACTTTATTAACACTTTATCAATTCAATATCAACCACATAACTCTACTTTTTCTTAAAAATCACACCACACCCCTTTGTCCCAAGCTTAGGGAGACGGAGGTAGTATATATTATTGATAAGAGTATCAAGAAACGTAACAGTCAAAAGCTGAAACATTACAATCATAGCATTCAAAGCTACACTAGAGAGTGAGACAAAGAACGAAAAAAAACCTATAAAGACGCTCTTGTTCGCTAACCCTACAACAATATAGACTAGTATCACATTGTGACTGCTCATGCTACTCAAAATGGATCCAGTCTTACCAGCCACCGAAAAGGAACTATTGAATTTCCCGGTTTTGCTAGCCACCAGTAAGGAACCAAATGCAGAATTTGTTTCGATTTTACTAGCCACCGGAAAGAAAACAATCCATACAATCCCATCTACCTCAATATTGATGCAAAAGAAATCTATATTCTTTTTTTTAATCCAGGGGGTTTGGGGAAGGGAGGGCTGGGAGTAATCAGGGCTGAAACTCAGCTCATTGAGTTTCGAACCCTTATGTGCCTAGCGGGTTTCGAACTCGGGACCTCCCACTAGGCATGGTAACCTCACAACCAGATCAGCAAAAAATCTAGATTCATTATTGATGAATAAGCCACTAGAAATCTATTACTAACATCCAAGAACACCCGACCAATTATGGAGGGAAATATACATCTGGCAGACGACAATTCGCCACCGAAAATAACATCTCTAGACAACGCTAGAAAATAAACGTATAGATAGAACTAAAAATAGTGATCAAACGAATCATTTTTCACTTCCACAAAAACGAATCAATTTTCATATTGAAGCCAAAAAATTGAAGGAAGAGACGAAAAGAAGAGGAGGAGGAGGCTAGGGTTTCCCCTCTACTCCTCCTTCTAGACCACACACAAAATTAAATAATAATAATAGGTAATAATAGCAACAATAATAACAACAACAATAACAATAATAATAGAATATTTAGAAGCAAAATATTTGTATGAACAATTTGTATGAATATTGTTCCTTAGTATATACTCTCTCCCTTCATTAACAATTTACCCCTATGGTCTCAAATTGATTTGCAAAGCTCAACATTTTTAGTTAATCAATATTAAAGTTTTATCCTCCTTGTTGATAAGTAATTCAATTTTTAATAATTAAGAAACTACATTAAAATCTTTATAAAACTGCAAAACCCAAATTAGAATCATTAAAAAAGAAAAAAAAAATGATATGAATAATCCGACATTTACCCTATCTTCTAAAAACGGTCCCTCTTATTGATAATCCTATAAAAAAAATTTGTGGTCTCTCTTCTTTCTTCAATTCCAATCTAATATATACCGGTTATGAGAAGTTATTAATATCTAACAATTGATCAAAGTTTTAATTAATGCTTTGTAGTATATATGCAGACGCTTCATCCCCTTAGCTCACCTGTAGCCTCATCTCTTCTTCCTGTTCACCTGGTAAGTTTTTGCTTCCTCGCTCCCTTCTTCCATCGCACTTGGTAAGCTTATGCTCCTCACGTAATCTCCCTCCTGTAACTTGGCGTCTTCACCTCCTATCATTTGTGAATTTGCCATTCTCAGGCAACAGATGTTTCTGGAAAAAGAAAAATCAAGCTAAGAGATTAATGGTCTTGTTCGATGAATCAATTAGAGGAGTAAATTCAAAATTGAGTTGTCACCACAACATCAGCTGTGTTTAGGGCTGGACTCGGGCCCAGCGGCCCGCCCGGGACCGAACCGGCCCGGTCACTGTTTGGCCCGGCCCGGCCCGGCCCGTGGCCCGGTGGGTCCACCGGTTCGGTTTGGCCCGGCCCGGGTGCTGGGCGGTCCGGGCTCGGGCCTAGGTTTTGGTGAACCGGCCCGGCCGATTCGGGCCCGGTTCGGGCCCGGTCCAGGCCGGATTTTAATTTTTTTTTTTTTGAAATTTTTTTAAGTTTTAGGTTGGATTAGGTATTTTGGGCCATTTGAGGTGGTTTGGGATGGTTTGGGGTTGAGGGGGAGGGGTAGGGGATTAAATAGGAGAACAAAAAAAAAAATTGGGCCGGTTCGGCCCGGCCCGGTTTGGCCCGGAACCGGAACCGGAACCGGCCACCGGCGGTTCGGGCTCGGGCCTCCCCTTTCCTGGCCCAAGGCCCGGCCGGGCCCAGGCCCGAACCGGGCCCGAGTCCAGCCCTAGCTGTGTTGTGTGAGTTATTAAAAATGGGAAAATGTTGGAAGGAAATTTTGTGGTTGATCTTTATGGCCGGTGAGTGTATTAACTTTTAATTTATCATTTTCCCTTAACTGTAAGTAGGATTCATATTGATTATTCGTGGTATGATTTTGTGTTTGCATCGAGATGAAAATTATGGCTTCTCCAAATGAGAAGATGGAAGTAATGCAAATTCATTAGCTGAAGTTGAACATGTTAACATATTCTAAAACAAGTCAAAGAGAATCGACTTACAATCTCAAAATAGGCTCCTGGAAGAAAAGATTATATGAAGTTGAAAGTGCGACAAGTTTTTCAATCAGGATGAGGGTTCGGGAAGGGTGTAATTGAGACGGGAAAGAAGTAAGAGAAAACAAGAGTTGTCCTCTTGCAAATATCTAATTAGTGAGGACAATTTAAAAATTTTAAATTTATTAATGTAATTGCTACACATAGTGTTTAGATATTCTTATCTTTCTTAAAACACATACATTTTACTATAGAAACACATACACTTGAGGTGTCCTTTTTACAAATGAACTGCAAGGTTTAGACATTTAGTTTTTTTTTTTTTTTACGGAGACATTTAGTTCTCTTAGTTAAGAAATTATCTATTGAAAAAGAGGAATTAAAACACAAGGTTCTGTTTGGAATGACTTTATGAATAAGTTTTCAATATATTCTTGATTTTCATTGAGAAAATTTAGCAATTATATGTTTTTAATATTTGTACTACCTGATATTGTTTACTCTGGTATCAACACATGAACATAATAAGTTTATTTTTATTGTTATTTTGTTTGTGGCTGAAATGGATGCTCCCAAATGTTTTTTTCTTTCAGAAAGGTAAGCATATCTAACTATTTCAGCAGAAATGGCTGAACTCGATGCTCCATCAAGATTAGGATTAATTTGGTATAATAATAATGGATATATATTATCCTGGACCGGGGTACCCGAGATGATGTACTTCTTGTTTTGGGCCTAGCCCGCTATTTTTTATACTAGCCCATGGCATTCCGCAAGCCCGTGTAGCCTGAATATATGTAGCTAACTTCATGTTTTAACCCTAAGACCTAATTCTTTCATACTACACACTATATCTCTCTAGTTTGTTAATTCTCTCTATCTTCTCTCTAGATCTAGGTATTATAGATCATGAAATGGTGCTTTCCTTGAGAGTTTTGAACAAATCAAGTTAGATCCTCCCCAAATTATCAAAAATTTCATGACAATTTCTGAAAATTCTGAAAATTTCATCTGAAATTTACAGATCAGGAAAATGGTCAGTAACGATCTTGTTGTGTAAAAATTTGACGATCAATTTTCAAGTTGGGGGTTCCCTAGTCGGATCAATGTTTTCTAGAAAAAACGAAGATCAAATCCCAATCAGAAGATCTATAGATCAAAGGAATCTCGCAATGAAATCTGTCTGGTGCAACATGCTTCATAAGCCTGGAAGAACATCATCTGGGCATTACCGTCCTATTCTCTTCGAATCTACTATCCTCTTCAAATCTATGGTGAACCGTAAGCTCCAAGGATCGAGACCACATAATCTGATGGGTTTAAACCCCCATAGCTTTTGCCAAAAGGATTTTAGGCGGGAGTTAACTTATCGAGCTCGCACTTTGATGGCTTTTCCCATTCATGGTGGTCGGAGCATTTTCTTTGACAATAGACTGCTTCAGAATAGATTTTGGGATTAATATTAGAACTCCCTGATTCACAGTCGGTTTCTTGGATTACACATCTGGATTCCGTATATTGGATGTCGCTCATGGAATGCTTGCAATGGTCGGCACTATCTCCTCTCGCAGCAGAAAAGGATCGTTGGGGGGTGATGTTCATCATCGAGTATTGAATGCCTTCAACTTGATGTGCCGGCTGAGTTGACTTGCAACCTGTATTAGGAATAGTTGACTAGTATAACTAGATATTGTTAGTTCCAGTTAGTTGTTATATTTTCTGTTTATTAATTCCTAGTCGGTTAGTGCAGCTTTTAGCCTTATCCTCTTGTATAAAAGCATCTTCTGTACTGGATGAGACTTAATGATGAACAATATGAAAATTTTCCTCTTTCACTAAATCGTTCATGGTATCAGAGCGATTATTCATCATTTCTTCCGCAATTCTTCGATCATGTCGCAACCTCCTGATTATATCATTAATCTAGCTAATCCACATTTTCTTCACCCTGGAGAAAGTCCTGCAACTTTTCTTGTTTCTCCACTATTGACGGAAAGCAATTATCATCAATGAAAGAGAGAAATCATCGTCGCATTGGAATCCAAGAACAAAGAGCAGTTTATTTTCGGAACTCTTCCTTGTCCACCAAGCTCATATCCGCTGTCAGAAGCATGGAAGTGTTGCAATCGTATGGTTATGTCTTGGTTAGTGCGTTCAATGAGTCCCTCGATCAAGCAATCGGTGATGTGGCTAGATACTGCATCAGAAATTTGGAAAGATATTCAGAAGCGTTTTTCACAATCAGACAAATTTCGTATGGCTGATTTGCAAGATCAAATCCAAAGTTGCAAACAAGGTACATCTACAGTTTCAGAATATTATACTCGTTTGAAAATTCTTTGGAAGGAGCTGGA